CGGAATTGTCAGCACCGAAAGCCTTTCTCAAAGAAGACGCTGACGCCGCATTTTTTGGCCGCGACCCTCTCGCCAGCGACCAGCACGGCCGTGTTGAAGCACCCTCTCCAATGGGCAGTTTTGTCGACGAGCTTTTGGTGCTGCTGCGCGGTGCTGTCGAGGCGCTTGCCTCAAGCATTCGCGAACGCCGCTCGGACGACGTTTCTGCCACCACGGTGAGCGAGGCGCATCACAATAACGCTACCGCCGACATGACTCCATTCGGGGCTCGTGCCGCCAACGCTCCTTCGCTCCCTGCGACCACGGCCCTGTTTGTAGAGCTGCCATTCGTCATGGTGTCTGTCATTCTCAAGCTTGGTTGCTATCTTGTGCGGGCGTCGGCTGCCGGACCGGCAATCTTTGCCTCGTCCATGGCCAACTGGCAAGAAGCTTGTTGCAGCGTTCTGGCGCTTTCGCATCTCGACGCGCCCGTCATCAACGCGACCGAACTCTTGCGGCTGCTTTGCGGCTCGGACGAAGACTTTTCGAGTGTGTTTGAGGGGTACATGTACTCGCGCCTGTTGAGCAAGATTTCGACCTCCCCTGTCTTTGTCTCCGCAACTCGTACGAATCTTGCCAACCAGTCGTCGCAGCTGGTCGCTTCGCTTGCCATGACGAATGGCGCTTGGACATATGATGATTACTTGGCCGTTTCCGACAATCTCGCCCGCATTCGCTTGTTGGCCACCTCCAGCCCTTCGTCCTGGCAGGCCTACTGTGTCGCAAACCCCTCCACTCTTGCGCACCTCTTCCAGAGCGTCTTTGGTCTGCCTGAAGGCATTGCACTTGATGTTCTTGAACTGATTTCTCTTGCATTCGAGAAGGCGGTCGAGGAAGACGCTGCGAGCCCTACGCCGTCCGCCGCCACAAAGCCCGCTGCCAAAGCCGATGCGCCCAATGCTTCCACCACCACCACGGCCGCCCCGAACGGCGGCTTTTCCTTCGCGAACAACATTTCTCCAGCAAATGGTGGTTTCCGTTTCGGGGAGTTCCCGCCCATCAACTTTGGCTTTGTTTCTTCCGGTGATGGCGCCTCCTCCTCCTCCTCGAGCACTGCTGCTCCTCCGGCTGCTCGTAATAATGGGTTTGGATCCTTTGGGCTTGGACTCTTTGGCTTGTCCCAGCCCCAAGCCGCTGCCGCTGCTGCTGCTGCCACGCCCAAAGAAGGACGTTCCACTGCTGCTGGCAAAGGCAACCAGTCATCCAGCCAACCAAAACCCGGCGACGGCGCTAGTGCTGACATTCCCTTCTTGCATCTTTTCGAATTTGTCACGTTGCTGCATGAGAGCGGCAGTGCGATTCGTACTGCTCTGGAACTCTTGCATGCTTCCCGCGCAATCAGCAAGGCTGGGCGACAGTCGGCGCGATCGCAGTCCAAGCGCCCCGCGGCAGATGGTGCTCCCAGCTCTTCTTCAGATGCAACAGAATCCCAAGCCACCACCACCACTGCTTTGCGGAAAGTCACTGCGCCTGCTTCGCTTGCCTCTCTGTTGGACAACTTTTTGCTCGCTCCAGAGGCGCCCATCACTCCTCTCCAACACCCAGAGAGCGATGGATTGGTCGCGTCCGACCGCCGGGCGTTTGGCCTCGGCACGTTCTTGCGCCGCTTCTTGTTGAGCGACGCGTCCCAACCACTCCGCAGCCGTGCCAACAAGCTGGTCATGGCTGCGTGGCAGTGCGCAACCACAGCTCAGCAGCAACGCATTCTGCTGGCGTTGTGGGAATCTTGGCCAGTTCTCGCCAACTTTGGTCGCTCTGGTGCAGAGTTTGTTCGACTCATTGAGCTGGCCATCGACGAGACCGACTGGAGCTCGATGGATGCCTCGACGCTCACGCGAATGGCGCATGTCTTTTCCGACTGTCTTCACGAGCAAAACCTGGCCATGCAACAGCATCCAAACGCCTTCATCTATGCAAACCTCGAGCAGCTGGTCGATGTGGACGGCTACTATCTGGAGAGCAGTCCCTGCCTGCGATGCAACGACTCTGAGCTGCCCGTTGCGAATTTGAAGCTCTCCAATCTGCGAGCGGAAGCCAAGTTCACAGACAGCACGCACATGGTCAAATTGGTGTCTGCCTTGTCCATCCAGGGCATTACCATTCACATTTCCGACGTCAAGCCCGGCCGGATGATCAAGACCATCAAGCTGTACAGCAACACCAAGACTGTCAGTGAAATTGGCGCGCTCAAGAACAAGTGGCAGCTTTGGAAGCGCATTTCGACTGTGCACCTCAAACCCAACCAAAAGGAGGCGCACATTGACTTCCCGTTGCCCGTTCTGGCTCGCAACTTTTTGATCGAGTACGCCGATTTTTACGAATCCGCCGGCAGCTCGGAGCGGCTCATGTGCCCTCGCTGCCACCGCGTTGTCACAGATCGCCACGGCCATTGCTCAAACTGCGGCGAGAACGCAAACCAGTGCCGCGAGTGCCGCAACATCAACTATGAAAACCTGCGCGCCTTCCTTTGCAACGAGTGTGGCGCGTGCCAGTATGGCCGGTTTGATTTTGTGTTTGAGGCGCGCAAGTGCACGGTGGCCGACCCCGTCGAGACAGAAGACGACCAGAAACGCACGCTGGCGTCTATGGAGCGTGTTATGGAGTCTGCACACACGTCCTACCAGCAGCTGCTCGCTCTGAAAAGCCATGTCGTCAAGGCTCTCATTACGCGGGATGGTTCTTCGTCGTCTTCGTCGTCCTCGTCCGCGACAACAGCGAACGGCGAAGCATCTAATGCTAATCTCGCCACCAGCGTGTTTGGCGGAAATGCATCCAACACGTCTGGCGGCGCCAACACTTTCAGCTTTGGCTCCTTGTTTGGCAACAACGATGCGTCTTCGTCGAACAATGCTGGAAACGGCGGCAACGCTGGATTTGGTCTGTTTTCGGGCCTGCGCGGTGGCGCCACTACCACTTTCTCGTTCGGAGGCGGCGATGCCTCGCATGCGTTTGGAACCAGCTCGAGCTCGGGCAACGTGCATCCCGTCATTGCCCAGGTTGCCACTCTCTATGGACGCCAGTGCAAGACCGTGTTTGAGTCGCTCGTCACCTCTGTCAAAGAGTTGCAGCTGCACCGACGTGAACTCTTGTTGTACAATGCCGCAAAGCAAAAGCCCGTCTCGGTCGGTGAAGGTGCCAATGCAGTCGCCCCTGCCTCTGCAGCCATCATCAACGGACTCGGCAATCCATTTGAAGCGAGCATGTCGTTGCTGTTGGCCGACCCTCCGTCCGGTAGTAGTAGTAGCACGGCGCTGGCTGCTGCAAGAGCAACCAATCTGTCCTCCGTCCAACAGCAGCAGCAGCAGCAGCAGCAGCAGCAGCAGCAGCACTGTTGCTTTGGGTGCGCCAAGTCCTTCCTTTCGTTGGCCCTGCAAGTGTTTGCCAAGCTTGCCGACTCGAAGGAATTGCGTCCGCATCTGGGCACCCATCTCATTGACGAGCTCTTTGTCAAAAACCTCACGTCGGGCTCGCCGGCCATGCGCCAGTCGACGCGCGTTGCGCTTTGCCGACTCGTGCAGCAAAACAAGCCTGCTTCCGATCGCTTGGTCGAGCTCTTGCGCGAACGATTCCTGACTGTGCTTGCCAGCATCAAGAGCGGCGGTGGCTCTGCCGTCTCGATTCAGGATGAAATGGCGCTCATCTCCGACCTGTGCTTGCTGGATGACACCCTGTGGGAGTCGAGGCTTTCGCTCACCGTGGATCTCTTCTTCCACGTCATGCGTACTTCCATGGCACCTGCCGTGATTGAACAAATGATTCTGCCCTGCATGCGTGTCATCACGCACGTTTGCAGCTCGGCGGAGGCCGTTCAACTGCAGCTGGCCCGTCAGCAGCAGGAAGAGAAGGAGTCTGTGGCTGCTCTGCAAGCGGCCACTGCTGCTTCTGCCCGCGCACAGGCCTCGTCATCGTCCTCCTCGTCAGGCCGTCGAGGACAGCACAACCATCTGCGCCGGCGCGGTGGTCGTCGAGGTCGATTTGGACGTCGCGGTGAGCTTTCCAGTCGTCAGCAACACATTGACCACAGCGGTGGTGACGAAGAGGAAGAGGAAGAGGACGACCATGAAGCCGATGAATACGCCGACGATGACGACGCCCATGCGGCCGAGGAAGACCATGATGATGAGGATGACGACGACGACGACAATGACGACGACGATGACGAGGATGACGACGACGCCATGCTGGATGAATTTGCCGAAGACGATCTCCAGCAGTCGGATTGGCGCAATGAAAACCAGCCGCCCGTCGAGCACGTTTTGGAGGAGGTTCACGACCTTCCGGACGACCACATCCCCGGATACTCTTCGCTCAGTGAAGAAGAAGAAGAGGGTGAGGACGCCCACATGTTCCACGACGATGCTCAGGAAGACTGGGACGACGTGCCTGCCGACGGAGATGATGACGAGCAGGACGAAGAGGCCCAGTTTGCGGCGGCCATGGCTGCAGCCACGCGCGCGTCTCTTCGCGAAGCTCGCCGTGCAATCGAGAGCTCGAACGCGACCCTTGCGGAACTTCGCGCTGCCTCCCCCGCCAACACCGCCGCCGCAGCACCCGCAAACACGAGTGCCAACCCCGTCGTGCCGTCTGTCCGGTCGCAGACCCTGCCGAAACCTGCTGAAAAGAAAGGCGTGGAGCCTGCCCGTGCTACTCGTCGCGCAACGTTTGTGCTCGCGCACCCTGGGTGGCATGCCGTCGCCTCTGCGCTCTCCATTCGGGCTTGCGTGCGCCTCGCCGCCGGCTCGGACGACAAGGCTGTGGCCCCTGCGGCCCAGCCCTTGGTGCGCTATGCGTTTGCGGTGTGGAAACAATCGGCCGCGCAACCACATGGCTCTGATGCGCGAGTGTCGAATTGGCTCGCGCAGCTGCTGTTTGCCGAGTCTTCCCTCACGACGCGGCAGTTGACGTGCGATTTGCTCGAAGCCCTGATCAATCCCGACTCTGCCAAGCGGCCGTTTGCGCTGCTTGATCTTCTCGTGCGCTTTGCGCCGTTGGTTGCCGGCAAGGGCGAGGCTGCGACCCAGGTCCTGACGTTGCTGCAGCGGCTCACAGCCAGCAGCGAAGCAAAGCTGTACCTGGCCGCCAGGGGCTTTGTCGCCACGCTGCTCACGCTTGTCAAGCAGGAAGTCCATCGCCTGCTTCGCGCCGAGTCCAACACCGCCGCGTCGCTCAACGTGAGCGAAGGCTCCGTGCTGCGCGCCGTTGTGGCCATGCTGGTCGACTTTTTGAGCGTTTCCAACATCCAGCAGCGCTTCAAGGCCGACAACCATGTCGGCAGCGTGCTTGACTGCTATCTCAGTCTGCGCCGCTTGTTTTCGACGCGGACCAAGCTCGTCGATGACTGCGAGCGCATGGTCTTGGATATTCTGAACAAGCTCACAACTGGCTCTGACACTGAGACGCGCGCATTCATTGCTGCCTGCATCAAGTCGCTCGATGCCAGCGTGGACGAGCAAACCAAGCGGTTTATTCTGGAGCAGATTGTCAACATTGTCGCGCCCGCGCCGAAAGTCCCCGTCTTCCAGGTTCAACTCTTCAAGATGCAATCGCAAGAGGAGTTTATTCGTGGAAACATGTCCAAAAACCCGTACTCGTCCACGGTCTTGGGTGAGACGATGCGTGACGTCAAGAACAAGATTTGCACCGATCTCGAAATGTTTGGCTTGATTGAGGACGATTTCGGCATGGAGCTCTTGGTTGGTGGCAAGATTGTCAAGCTCGACCTGCTTGTGGCTGACGTCTATGAGCATTTGTGGAAGAAGCGTATTCTCGCTGCTCGAGCCTCCTCGTCGCGCGAGGACGATCCCAGTTTGCTCGCCCCTGGCGGTCGGATTGGCCGTCGACAGGCGCGTGCCACCCAACAAGCAGCAGCAACAGCAGCCGTCGCTGCTAGCGGGTCGGACGCCAACTCGTCGTCATCTGCGGACGCGTCCATCCCTGCCATGAATGTGTTTTACCGGCTCCAAGGTCTGGACGGCGAAGCCACGGAAGACATTGTCGAGTCGTTTGACAGCAAGACCGACAATGTTGTCGACCCTGAGCAACTGTACAGCATCACTGCCGTCATGCCCGAATGCAACGGCCTCCAGGTTTTGCTGCGGCAGATTGCCTCTGTGCCTGATTTTGTTCGGTTCAAGGAACTTGGCCAGCTTGCGATCAAGTTGCTCAACTGCTGCATGATTCGAGTCAACCGCACAGTGCTGGTTGCCAATGACGCAGGTGCCCATACCATTAACATTCTGCTGCGTGCGTTGATGCGAGCCTTCCGCCAACGCGTGGATGATATCGCCGAGGGCCTCTTGTCCGCCATTGCCAGCGTTGCTGAAGAAGCCAGCGCGATCGATGCTGCTGCTGCTGCTGCTACTGCCGCTGCCGCCGCCGCCGCCGACCAACCAAGCTTGTCTGCGTCACCCGTGCTATCCGAGTCGTCCTCGAGTAGAAATGGCCTGGACACAGCGACCACCTCCAACAGCGACCCGTCGGTCGCTTCCGATACTTCCCAGATAGTCTTGTTCCTGGAGAAACTGGCCTCGCCGTTCGTCAAGTCCAACCCCCGCATTCTTGCCGCGATGGCTCGCATTCTGTCCTTCCTTCCGTACGGCGATGAGGACAAGATGCGAGCTCTCATGGACCACTTTGATGTGTATCTCGACTTGACGCAGAATGACGCCATTGTTCGCGGCACCCTGCCACCCACTGTTGCTGTTACTGCTGCTGCTGCTGCTGGCGCCTCGACGGAGGGTGACTCTGGCGAGTCTGCCTCGACCGTGTTGGCGCCGTCGATGACTGCCGAGGATGTGCAGCTGCAAGTGTCGTGCTTCCACCAGCTGGTGGCTGCCATCAAGAACGACGCCAACGGCATCAAGCTCAAAGACTACATTGTCAAGCGCGGCGTTGTCAAGAAGGCCGTGTCGTATCTTCAAAGCCATCTGCCCGAGCTGCCTGCAGGTGCAACGTCGCTCGCTGTGGCCGCGCCCACCGTCACTGCCCTGTCTGCTGCGGCGGTCGCTGCGGCCGACGCGGGCCCCTCGGGTTTGTCGGCTGGCGGTGAAGCCCACGCCGGCGCGGTGTGGGTGGACTATCTCACCCGCCCAATGCTGCCTGTGGCTCTGCGTGTGCTCACCGGTCTTGTTCGAGGCGGTCACTCGGCGTCGTCGCGCATGCTTGTGGAAGAAGAGCAGGCTCTTTCGCTCGTCCACGGTCTCGAGCATGTGTCGTCTGCCGAGAAGATTGGCTCGATCGCTGAAGCCCTGCTCGAGGCCGTCGTCGCAGGAAACGCTGCAGGGGCTGGAGATGTCGTGCAGACATTGCGCAAGGCGACTGCGGACGACAAGCGCAAGCTCGCCCAAGCCAAGCGCGACAAGATGCTGGGCTCGCTTGGCTTCAAGTTGAATGACAAGGGCAAAGGCAGTGCCATCATCACCACCTCGGCCAGCGGCACCATGCTGCAAGACCTGGAGCAGCTCAAAGACACGAAAGGCCCCGTGTGCATGATTTGCCGTGAAGGCTACGACTTTAAGGACGACGACCCTCTCGGTGTGTATGCATTTGCCAAGAGCGTTGCGCTCGAGGGCGAGTCGCGCCTGGGCCGGCGTGAGCACGGCTACTCGACCGTGACGCATTTCAACGGCATTCACGTGTCCTGCCATCGCGAGGCCGTGCGTGCAGACCGGTCGGCACGCCACGCCAAGAACGAATGGGAGGGATCGACGGTGCGCAACGAGTCCAAGTGCAACTGCATTTATCCGATTCGCGGTCCGGGCGTGAGCACGGACGTGTATGCGGGCATGGTCGATCGCCTGTTTGGCAACTGCACTCCCCTTGGCCGCATTGATTCAGAGCGCTACAGGATTGTGTGTCACGACATGGTCCAGTTGCTGTTGCGCTATGCGTACAAGCTGTCCTTTAGCGCCGACAGCCAAGGAGGTGGTCCGAGCAGCAACATTCAGCTGCTCCCGATTCAACTGCAGCTAGCCACCTATGCCATCGACACGAAGAGCACGCAACGCGTTGCCGCCACCACTGTGCTGTCCCAATTCCTCAACGACGAGCCGTCCACCTGGCCGAAATCTGTCTGCGCTGTGGATGGTCTTTGCTACATGCTTGTGCTCTCGCTTGTTCTGCAGACCGAGTCCGAATGGCAAGCGGTGCGCCTGGCCTTTTTGAAGCGATCGTTGCTGCTCGGCTCGATTCGGCACAAGCAGCGGGCAACCAGTCCCAGCGGCGCTGCGCAGCAGCCTTCTGGATCTGCCGCCTCGCAGACTGCTCGAAATGGCTCGGCCTCCTCGGCACGCGATGTCAGTCATGACGACGATGGCATTGACGATGACGACGACGACGACGAGTACGAGTCAGCCAGCGATATGGATGACGATGAAGCATCGGATGCCGCTGCCGCTGCTGCTGCCGTTCGCGATGCCGCTGAGGACGACAATGATGACGATGGTGGGCTGTCGCTGGCAGCGCGCCAAAGCAACGGCGCCGGTGCGTCGACATCCGGTGCATCAACGTCCCGTCCTCAAGACTCGCAGGAGAAGGATGGCGAGCCAGCCAGCTCGTTTGTGGTCTTTTATCGACCGCTGCTCGTCTTTTTGGCGATGGTCGATCGCTTGCAATCCGTCATGAAGCGCAACCTGCTGTCCGATGGCGATTCTCGACCAGTCACGCTTGCGGTGCATGAGCGAATTCAGCGAAACGGCCACATGATTCATGATGAGATGGAAAAGGTAAAGCAGCGGGGGGAGGGGTTTTGGGTGGGATTTGTGTGTTGATTTGTGCCATTGCTCATGGTTTATTTTTATTTTGAAACCCCTTTGTAGCTGTTCGAGTTTTATGAATCCCTCATCGAGTGTGAATCGTTTGACGAGTTTTGTGACGTTGCTGAATGGCTCTCCATGCTCGAGTCTGCGGGTGAATCTTGCGAGGAACTTTACGCCACGTATGACTCCACCGCGTAAAACACGGTTTGTTTCATTTTACACCTCTAAAAATGTTCATTGTTGTACTTGTATGATTGTGTGTGTCTGTTTGTGTATGTTTGTGTGTGTATTGCAGTCTGTCCTTGATGTTCTTGTACTTGTAGTTTGTTGTTTGTGAGTACAGTGTTTACCTGATGAATGCGACTTGTTTCAGTCTTTTTTTTTTGTTCTTCGCTTTCGTCCTTGGTACAGTACCGTGCTACAGTGTTAGTGGGCGTAGGGGATGCAGAAAGGCACGCCGTTGAACGTTACCAAGTGTGAGAAGACCGCTTTAAGTTAAAAGACCATTTTTGGTCCAGTTTTTTTTTTTTTCTTTTCTTTTTTTTTTTTTTTTTTTTTTTTTTTTTGTTTGTTTGTTTGTTTGTTTGTTTCATTTGTTTCTTTTTTTTTTCTTTTTTTTTTTTCTCGCCCTTTCCTTTGAGCGACCATTGGCAGATTTCCAATCTCCCAACTCGACATTTGTAACGTGAGTTCTTAAGATCAACTTTACATTGACAGTGACAGTGCGTCAGGAGCCACAAGCGCAGGTGGAGCGAGCAGGTGCGGGGCTTTGTTGAAGCTTTTGCGGTTGCATGGGGTCAGCATGGGCAATGACTGTCGACGAATGGGCCCCCCCCCCAAGCGGGACCAGTGAAACGAGGTGTTGAATCAAACCTTGCAAGAGAAGGCAACTGGCTGGACTTCAGCTCGCTCGGGTGACAAGCGGGGGCGGTGGGGGACGGAACTGGAGTCAGACGAGCGGGCATTCGTCACCTCCGACCTCGATCGCAGCGTCGTCCCCTCCCCCTGCCATGCAACAGTGAAGCAGCCTGAACATTGAATTGACATTGAACGGCACCGGCGAGAAGGGCCGTGAACGAGAGCGAACAGAAAGAAGGAAGATCAAAGCAAACGTACTGTTTTGGGCTTTGGTTGGTTTTTTTTTTTTGTTTGTTTTTTTGCTTTTGCTTTTGCTTTTGCTTTTGCTTTTGCTTTGGCTTTTGCTTTTGTTCGTTGACTTGAGTCGGATGGACATCGCACTTCCCACACTCTCGATTTTCATCTTCAACTTCAATAGTCTCATGCAAAAATCCGAGTCTCAGATGCCTTGAGACCGACTCGCGCAGTTTGCTATTGTAGTTTGAACGATTTTGTTTGACATTTTATTTTGTTGCTCTCTCGATAATGCTCGGGTGAACTAACTCGAAAACAACCCAGCATTATCGAGGGATGTGCATCGCGATGAACATTGTGGGGCAGCTAAGAAAGGGGGGAGATGGAGGCAGAGGAGATGAGGAGAAGGAGATCCGACGCTCATGATTTGATCCAACTTTTGTTTGTTGTCATTCAGAGATCACTGAACACCTGCAAACGAAATGGCTGTGGCGCGATCGCTCGTCGTCGTCGGTGCTCTACTCGTGCTTGCAGCGTTGACCGCGAAAGCAGACATTCACAATTTGCCAACCAAGTGGGTCGACGCTACCAGCTCGACTGCCCCGCAGCTGTCCACCAAGAATGTCGTCCTGTCACCCGCGATGGGTTGGCTGACTTGCTCTGGATCAACCGGAGGCTACAACGGCACTGGTTCCCGTTATTTTAGTGAAGAATCGCTTCTGCAAGACCTCTACACAAACGAGATCAGCATCCGCTACGTTCAAGAGTATCTGGGCCAATGCCGGCGCCAGCGTCTATTCCACTCGAGAGCGCTGGTTTGAGACTCCCACAGAAGTCATCATCAACGACAATGACAACACAGCTGCCAAGAAAGTGACATACACCGCTAACAGTGGCTCATGGTCCTCTATTTCAAGCGCTGCAGGGTATGGTTCCGATCAACACTGGTTTGCAGGATCTACTTCGGAATCTGCCCAAGCCACGTTTACCGCTACACTTACCACGTCTGGCTACTACCCCGTTTACATGACTTGGCCTGCCACAACCAACCGAGGCTCTCCAGATATTCGCATTACGCATTCCGGAGGCATACAGACAATATCAGTCCCGATGTATCAATTCGACTCCATCTTTGTGTATCTTGGTCGCTACTACTTTACTGCTGCGGCGGGAATCAAGGTTGAGATTACCAACAAGATGACCACAGCTTCGGGCAAGCTTGCAACGGCTGATGCCGTTCGCGTCGGATGCGGAGCGTCAACAGCTGGCATTCCACGCTGGAAACTGTCAGCCCAGGACTTTTTGCGCTTTATGAGTCAAGGCCAGTATTCAACCATGGGTCTTCAAGTGGCAGCCAACTCAGCGCCCACCCTTGATACTGACTATCTGGCCAGGGCAAAGTTTTCGAACTACATGTTCGACAAGAAGCTGGAGATAAATTTTGTCAACACGCAAGTTGGAGGCGACTGGCTGTATGCAGGCATCGGGGCAACTGCAGGCGCTGGATCGGGTGTATCAACTGCAACACCCAGCACGGTAAGTAGGCGATGCTTGTTGCTATTTCTCTCGATTGAGTTGTGCTTATTGTTCCATGACCTGTAGAACCCCAGCGGTCTCAGTGCAGCGCTCTACACGGCGTGCAGCATCGCGGCAGACAGCGTGCGCTTGAACATTCAGCAAGCGACCGGACAAAACAACAAAGGAGGCGTCCTGGATTCGTCCAAAACGGAATTGATTCAAAACACCAAGATGCCATCGTTCGTTACGCTTGCCATTGATGTGCTCAATGCCACTGAGATGGCGCTGATGGCGAAAGAATCCTACCGCGAAACGGTAAAGCTGATTGTGAGGTGGGAGTTTGGTGAATGCACTCTGAAGGACTCTCATCGAATGATAACTCACAATAATTCGGACAATAACAGCTGGGTCGTGCCATCTACAAGGGCATCCACAAGTACTTTAATTCGTCTGCAATCATCATCCCGCTGCCAGTCACCAACCTTTACACTGCCTCAATGCCCAACGGCGTTGGCCTGTGCTGGGTTCAACCAACTGATCCGCTGGAATCAAATGCAACAGCAACAGCGTACAAGCTGTACACCTCCACCGATGGTCGTGGCTGGGATGCAGGTGTCATCTTCGGGCCTACTTCTAGCTCTTCGGTTTATATCGATACAATCTACGGCAACAGCGTATGTGGTATCACGACAACAGTCGCAGTCGACACGCAGTACTACTTCAAAGTTGCTGGTGTCAATGCCGGCGGTGAAGCTCTCACCAAGCTGACAGTGGCTGGGTACCGCAACTCTGGAGCCAGACCGCGCGTTCTGGTGGTGGATGCTTTTGACGCCGACTTTATCCACACGAGCGACAATATCGAGGGCCGTTATACACGCGAGTACGTGTTCGAGTATGTCACCGCGCTCCAGGCTGCAGGCTACCGCTGCGACTCGGCCACCAAGAACACGCTGCTCGACCCGACATGGGTGAATGACTACCTGGTGAACTACGATACTGTGATCTGGTTTGCAGGCGAGAACACTGGCATTGACGTGTTCCCTGCCGCGCATCAAGCTGTCATCAACACATGGATTGCTGCTGCTACTTTCACCAACCCGCGCTCTTTGATTGTCAGCGGCTCGCACGTCGCTTCGGGTCTTGCAGCGGCTGGTGGAGCAAGTGCGACCTTCCTTGCCAACAACCTGGGTGCTGGTTACGCCGGTGCTACTGCCAGCGCGCCATTCATTGCTCGTCAGGCTGTCGACCCAGGCTTTACAATGAGCGGCACTGTGACGTTCAACTCGGTGATCGCGCTTGGCGGCCCTTTCATTGTTCAAACCCCTGACATCCTGACTACCGTCGGAAACGGCATGGCTGCACTGTTCCATGGCTCTTCTGGCGGCAACATTGCGGGTGTGAGCACTGTGGGTGGCAGCTACTCGTCGTTTTTGCTCGCCATGCCGTTCGAGACGATCAAGTCGAGCACCGAGCGCACAACACTGATGACATCGATTGTTAAGAGCATGATTCAACGTCGGGCCAGCTCTGCCATCTCTGCAGCGACTGCGAGCTCTGCGACGGTCGCGTCGATATCTCGCGCATCAGTGGCAACCCTGTTGTCAGCCGCTTCGGCTTCCGCAATCTCGACGTCGTTTGCCTCGTTCGCTTCAGAGGCATCAGTAGCAAGTCAGTTGTCAGCCGCTTCGGCCTCAGCAATCTCGTCGTCGGTTGCCTCGCTTGCTTCAGAGGCATCCGATGCCAATGTTGCCTCGACGTCCATTGCATTCGTCACCAGCGCTGCATCTGCTGTTATCGTTGCCTCTGTCGCATCTGTTGCCTCCGACGCATCTGCCGCGTCCACCTCCGTGGAGTTCGTTACCAGCGCAGCATCTGTTGCTTCTGTTGCCTCAGCAGCATCCACTTCGGTTGAGTATGTGGCGAGCGTAGCCTCAGCCTCAGCCGCACTGCGCGACAGGGATTCCAGCGATTCAGCTTCAATGACCGCCATTGTTGCCGCGTCTGTGTCAGTTGTAGGAGTCTGTCTGATCGTACTTGCCGTCGTTCTAGTCCGACGGCGGCGCTCGCGTCGTGCAGCCATGACACCGAAGGACTCTGCCGGTCCCATCTATCAAGAGGCAGTTGAAATGGAAATCTTACCGTTTCCCCAAGCGACTCAATCTCGTCAAGAGGAGGACATTGCAGTCTATGCCGTGGTCGACAAAAAGCAACAAGAACCTTTGTACCAAGCCATCTCGACGACCTCGACAGAGAATGTCTATGACAATGAAAGTGTGTATGTTGCCGGCGGCAACTCTCGACGCATTCGTGATGGCTTGACCATTGTGAAGCACCTTGCCAGTGGGAACTTTGGCGACGTGGCACTGGGTCAACTGCCGTTCAGCGCGTTGCCCCCGCGAGCACAAAACTTGCTTGGGCCTGCAGCATCCGAAACCGTGCAAGTTGCCGTCAAGTCTCTCAAGTCTGATGCAGACGACAAATCCCGCAAGGACTTTGAAAGCGAGGCCAAGTTGATGGCTCCGTTTGTGCATCCGAATGTCGTGCGTTTGCTTGCCGCTCTGGTCGAGTCAGAGCCCCATCTCGTTCTGCTTGAGTTTGTGCAGTATGGCGATCTGCGTACACTGTTGCAAAAGTCCCAAAAGCAGTCGTTCGAGTGGACACAAAATGAGCAGGTCCATGCCATTCGTCAGATTGCACTTGGCATGGAGTACCTGGGCACGCTTCACTTTGTGCATCGTGATCTTGCCGCGCGTAACTGCCTTGTGGGACAAGGAATGGTGGTCAAGATTGCCGATTTCGGGCTTTCTCGCGAACTGGAAGACGAGAATGACTACTATCGCGTGCAAACGCGTGGCAAGCTTCCCGTGAAGGTGAGACGATGGTGTGTAAGGTCAGCACTTGCTTACGGCTCATGCTGATTACGTTGATCCTGCATTTGTAGTGGATGGCGCCGGAAACAATGACCTTCCGCAAGTTTTCGACCATGTCCGATGTTTGGTCGTTTGGCGTCACATCCTGTGAGTAAAGTCATGCTCGGCTGAAATTTTCATTTGGATCTCACTTGCGTTGATGCTCGTTGGTAGGGGAATGCTTCACCTACGGAGCGACGCCGTACGACCAAATGGATTGGCGCGAGACACTGGCTCACATTGAGGCTGGTGGTCGACTGCCCCAGCCCGAAGCCTGCGTGATTGATCTCTACAACATGATGCTTAGTTGCTGGAACATGACACCGGAGTTCCGACCGAGCTTTTCTCAGCTCGTCAAGGTGCTGGCAGGGTTTGAGGATGGGACGACCATTCGCGAAATCGGGGCAATGTTGTGAACACGACCCGCCTGCTTGTCGGCGCTTGTTTCAAAATTGACCTGTACAGCACGTGAAGAGCCATTGGCTGGTGTTTTGATCCGGAATGTCTGTGTTGTGTAGGAGTTGACCGGCGAGTTCATGGATTGCTTTGTTGGCACAAACGTGCAACGATCCATGACCACAACAATGTTGTTGCAGTAATGAAAAAGCCTTGTCTCCAGTTCCTTATCCCAGAGTCGCATACTTGCAGTCGAACGAGTGTTTTAATCTTCCCCTTCATCATTGGAAACGGCGCATTCAAGCAATTGAGTTGTGCTGTGTGTTGTTGAGGTTTTGGCGTAAAGCTCACTACGTCTATGGGACAACATCTATCGTACACCTCACTTCACTCACTCTCAGACTTGTATTCCCAAGAATGGAAGGAAGCTCGGTCTCAGTTTTTGGTTGTTTCGCTCAGTTTTCTTTTTCTTTTTTTTTTTTTTGGCGACGGCAAGCAATGCAGTTTGCGCATGCATCGCGTGGAGCGAGCGTCGCCGATCGTGTTGTTGATCTCGTCATGAACGATCTGCTGTATATCAAGAACTGGCGGGATGTGCAGCGATATCATCATTCCGGACTCGACCTGCCGTACGCATTGGGACGACCAGCAGCAGATGTAAAACAATTCCCGAGGTCTCTGAGGCCTCTGCGACTGGCATTGAATATTCAGCAGTGCTACTGCAATCTTACTATGCACCTCTGATACCTTGACGATTGGATGGGTTGTCTGCAAACACACTTACTCGTTGTATGCAATTGCATTGGGGTTTTGGGGTTTTGTATAGGCGCCACTGTCGCCAGTCGTTGCGCTCCATGCCGCAGCGCCAGTCAGCATTGACTACGTTGTGCAGCTGTTCCGTGGCCTCGGCAGTGGCGGATGTGCCGCAGCAGCAGGCGCACAGTCAGGCTCCACCAATGCTCCCGCCATAGTAGCGACTGAATCTGCCGCCTCAAGCTCAAAGATTTACATTGCGTTTGTCGACGCAGATGCATCAATCGCGTACTATGTCTTTTCGGCTGGGTTGGAGACATCTGTGACAGACGAACACCGGTGGATGAGGCTTGACCAAGCTTGATACATCGTTTGTATGAGGTTAAGGTTGTGATTTTTTTTTTGTTGTTTTAATAA